ACTTGCCGCCCACCAAGGACATACTGCAGAAATGTCCTTAAAAAAGGGCGAGTATATACATCATCATATATTATTAGTATATAAATTACACCATTTTTGAAGGTGTATTAAAGGACTCATGCAAAAACATTACATCCTGGAACAAAATATTCATATAGTCAAAATAAAAATGAATCTAACTCTTACATACCTATGTACTATAAAAATAATATTATAAATTTAAGATATTGGAAGTACACATAGTTTCGAAATGGGTATTTTTATCAATGTGTGAAGTAGTAAAGTTTGGATAGTATTTGCATATATAGACTTAAATACTAACTAATTGTGCCTTGTCTGGTCTAGTTGTGTGTTGTCTCTGCATACTTTGTGCTTATTTATTAAGTTACAAAGTTTTAGAGGCGTAGTGTGTTCCTAACAGTTATAAGTTATAGTAGATCAGTTTCTACCTAGAGTTATTGACTTATATGTCACAAAAGAAACTTTATTAAAGATTTTCCTGAATCGACAATACTTTATGATATCTAATTACACACATCAAAAGTGTCTAGGGATCAAGCATTTTTATGCGGATTTCTTGAGATTGAGATGTGGCTTTGTAATAAATTTATGATTTTATAAATTTATATGGATCCTTTTTGGTGCATTTCATAATTTGAATCAGGAACTGTGAATCAAATTCGAGTAAAAGATGAAAATCAGCTGTCAATATTTTCCCTATAAAAACATACAACGCATTGAAGACATTATTAGTGCTACTGTTTCCCTACTACTGATTAAAACCAACGTTATTATGGAGCGGCGACGTCATTTAAGCAGGGAAGAAATGCTCAGAGCCGTGGGAATGATAGAAGCTGGTTCCCGGCAACGTACTGTGGCTTTAGCTCTGAATACAAGTCAGAGTGTTATCAGTCGACTTTGGACACGATACCGAAGCACTGGTACCGTGGCTGAGCGCCATGGAGGACGGTATTGCTGCACCACACGGAGACAAGACCGATACATTCAAATCTTAACTCGAAGAGCTCCAACAATAACCGCCATGATGTTAGCCGTGAGGCTTCATCACTCTTCAGGGAACTTAATTAGCGACCAAACAGTCAGAAACCGCTTGCATGAAGTGAACCTTCATTCCCGAAGACCGCTACGGGTACCACCTATAGCAATGCACAATCGTAGGATTCGATATCAATGGGCTCTTGAACACAGAAATTGGGCAGAAGAACAATGGCGTTTCGTGTGCTTTTCTGATGAGTCTCGTTTTGGTATGAGACCGGATACAAGACGTATACGACACTGGAGAACCCCTGGACGCCAACAGCGATTAAAATCCTGCCAGGAAGTCCATCCTTATAGTGGTGGAACCATCATGGTATGGGCGGGTATTTGGATCGGCGGAAGAACTGAGTTGATTTTGATCAGAGGCAACCTCAACGCTCAAATTTATGCTGAGACGATTGTATCAGACGTCATCGTTCCTCTACAAGTGCAAATCGGTCCCTTATTTCAGTTAATGCATGATAATGCACGACCGCACACCGCAAGAGTTGTAAGACAGACTCTCGCCGCAGCTAACATCAATGTCCTGCCCTGGCCTGCTCAGTCGCCAGACTTGAACCCGATTGAGCATGCATGGAATATGCTACAGAGAAGAGCTCTGCCGAATATGGAGGGTATCCAGTCGCAAGAAGACCTTTTCTTGTTGTTGCAACGAACATGGGCGGCCATTCCACAGCGTGATTTGGATGAACTCATTTTGAGTATGCCAAACCGATGTTCTTGTGTTGTTAGTGTTCGCGGTAGAAATACGGATTATTAATTGTTTAAGTTACCCAATAAAATTTTAGAGAAAACTGTTATTTCAGTCTTTTTTTCGAACTTTTGTGTTAGTGGTTCAAATGTCAAAAATCCCTTTATTAGGAAAATGGCAAATTTCTTTATTAATGCAAAGGTGACTTGGTTTATCGTTACTGTGACAAACGAAAACACTTTATTTGATGAATCCTTAAAGAAAATTTTAATTAATATCAATCAGGAGAAAAGTTATTTCAAAAATATATGTTGATCCCTAGACACTTTTGATGTGTGTAGTTAGTTTCCTATAGAATGCGTAAAAAAACCACTTTAAGAAAACTCATTTAACATGTTTCATACGATTGTGGTTATTTTAGGCCCAGGCAATTCAAAGACCAGAGGTGAATAAGTTATGAATGACACATTAATATATTTATGTATAAAAGGAACAAGTTCAAGCAGTAACTCAGTTTATTTGTAATGTTAAATAATATTTGTAATCTGGTAGACAATGATAAAACACTGTTTATTCCATGTTCCATAGAGTTCAAATTCGGTTGAATTAAATGCCTTAATGCCGCAGGTGGTTAGCGCGTTCGGCTGCGATCGATGAAGTTAAGCAACTTTCGCAGTTTGGTCACCAATCCAATGACCGACCGGTCATTGGATTGGTGACCAAAAATCTTCTATCTCGAGTTCCTCCGTGCTTCGGAAGGCACGTTAAGCCGTTAGTCCCGGCTGCATCTGCAGTCGTTAGCACCCGCCAATTCGTACTGGGCTCGCGTGGTGGGTCATGGGCAAATCTCCCTATTCCATCCATAGCGAAGGCCTGTGCCTCAGCAGCGGGGACATTAATAGGCTGATGATGATATGAAATGCCTTAAAGCGCACCCTAAAAAAAGTAAATCTAAGTTCTCATTATCACGAATACTAAATCACATTATCGCAGTCTAAAATCCAACAAAAGCAATTGAAAAAACTAAATTTCGTTTAACAGTTAAAGTACCTACCCCATAAATTTAATTACCTACCGTTCGTTGTGTAACTCTGTTAAAGCCTTAATTTTACATTTCTGAAAATAGAATTAGTTACATTTACCCTTCGACGTAATTGGAGATTGATTGCCGTTCCCCCAGTCTTACTTTATGTTTTGTGGGCTTATCCCATTCCTTGGACTGGGATGAAGTAAAATATTAGTATGCGCCAGCTGCTAACTTTTCTGGAAGTTGGCAATCAACGGCCTGGAAAGTTTTGCTAATAACTGTACTAATTCGATGGGCTCGATGCCTGTTACTTTAATGATGAAGAACTGGAACAATGTAAAAACAAACAGACAACTTAATGAAGGTTGTAAATCCAACCAATAGAAAAAAAAATGAACAAATGGGGAAAAAACCATGTTTATACAATAAATTGGTTAATAAATATCATAAGCGTGTGTTTTATTAGAGAACTAATTATTTAGTATCCCATTTTAAAAATGTTGGTTAGCAAAAAAGCAGTCTAAAATCATTTGACCACCATACAAAGATTTTTGGATCCCTATTATAATTATAATTATATGAATAAAGCAAATTGTTAATTATTATATGACACACACTATCCAACTATTACTAAATATACCCTTTAAGATGGAAATCAAATAAATAATCTTTGTAAGGTATGCGTCCATTTTGTGCATAAGTTTAGCATAATGTTTTTCCTAGAGTTATATTAGTAGCACAAAATTGATTTTTTTGCTTACTCACTGAGTGCTTACCAAAATTTGATTAAATATGGCTAAAAAGAATTTTTCAGAATGATATAAATTGCGGGTAGGTTTAGAAATATTTGCTGATCATAAGTTGCTGCCCAACTAGCTGTTTTGACTAACCTATTAAAATTTTTGCTACTAAAAATACGATTACATACTTTGCTAATCGTTTAAATAACATCCCGTTTATCGAACAGCACTTCACTTGGCTATTCGTGTTTGCTATTTGTAGACTTGACAACAGAATATTCTCTCCGTTTCGATCCCTTTAGTTTAGAACAGTAAGGACAACAATGACTGTGAGGTGTAACCCTGACACTAGAATGCTATGCTCGGTTATGCTATGCTAACGGTACTTTATGCTAAGGTCGTATGCTAGAGAAGAAGAAATTTAATGAAAACAGCAAATACAAATAGTCAACTGAAGTGCCGGCGGCATTATACTAATTCTCACATATAATTCGCAAACATTATTGCATACTAACGTATCGGTGCCAGTGGTGCAAACAAACAAAGACGTTTATAAACGTCGAGCTGTCAAATTAGCATTAAACCATTGCGATGTAGGACCGCCACAATTCCAAGCTCATTCAGGAGCGGTCTGGGTATGCTGTGAGTGTGGCGTGCTAATTCCCGGTCTGTTTTCTGATTATTTCACTCATATTAGTGCTTCGAAATAGTTACTGGGCTTAGTATTGCCAAGGTTTTAATGACCATTTTGACACGTGTATTTGGGAGCTGAATTATTTGTTTTTGCTGGATGATATAATATTTTTCAACACATTTGCTCAAAAAATGCATTTACGGAGGTTGTATACATTGTTCAAAAGTTCAAAATTACGGGCCATACAACATGGCGATGACACGCACGGCGCCATACATGAGGTCGTGCGTGTGCGCCACTTTTTTTTTTTAATTTCGATCGAACCTCCTTGTTATTGCTTTTAATTTATATCTTTGTCTCACTTTAACAATAAAAAGAAAAAGAGACGCTAGATGTAGTTCTAATTTCTAAAAAAATGTTCAATACATAGCATTTGAATGGAGAAGCTATATTTGTAGGTTAATACGATATGGAAATAAAGATCTTGTATTTGTATTTGTTAATCCATTATGTAAGTGAATAAAACGATAAATATAAACCAAACAAATTACCTATAATAAATACTACACTCTCAGTCCAGCATGAAAATAACTCCTTTATAACAACCGCATCATACAAAACGACTGAAGAATGACTTACTGCTAAACTGTACTTCCAGGGTCCAAGCGGTGATACTTCACACTAGGTTAGGTTAGGTTAGGTAAGTGTTGTGACCATAACGTTTAACGCCAGTTTTTTTAAAAAAAAAAACATTTTTCTACAAAAAAGTTCGAGTAATCATCTTGGGCCCTGGAAGTACAATTTTACCTGACTTAATTAAACAAAGCTAAAGTTGCTTTCTCTTTTCAGGTGTACGTATGTTGGATGGTGACGTCACAGATGCTGTAGAAGCCAGATCTTTAAGCCTGAACCCTCAACATGTAGACATTTACAGCGCATCCTGGGGTCCAGACGACGATGGAAAGACCGTCGATGGACCGGGAGAACTAGCCACGAGAGCATTCATCGAGGGAGTCACAAAGGTACCTATTTATTGATGTGATAATATTGTCATGATTGAATAAATATGGTACAACATCAACAAAAAGTTAGACTTTTTTGATAGGACTTAATTTGTTCACTATATACACAAATAATCAAGTTCGAGCGCATGAGATCGTTATTTAATAGTGTCAAACTGACAACTGTTTCAACCCTATAATGTTTTTTTTATACTGTCTATATATATTAATGATATTATAGAATAAATCTGCCGAACTTTAACAGTCCAGTTAATTTTCCAAATGATCGTCTGCTGACTTAATTTTTTTATATATATAACTAGGTAGGCAAATGGCTCTACCCCACCTGATGTTAAGTGGTGATAAAGTCCAAAATGTAGCTGGTACAGCAGTAACAAACTGCTACACCAACTATCCTCACATTGCCCGCCCGCAAAAATGCTTCTTCACGCCTCTTTTAAAGGACCCCAAATAATAGGAAGGAGTGAACACGTGCGCGGGTAAAGAATTCCACTTACGAATAGTACGACAAAGAAATTCAGCCAGTTCAGATACATTCCAAATGTCGTTCTCTTAAAAAGTAAACCAGGCACACAAAGTTATAACGTTTGTTATGAACAGAAGGTGATATTTATAGGGATGTAACTACAAAGGTAGGAATACAAGATAGGTAAATAGACATTTCAAAAAAAAAACAAAGTAAAAATATTGAATGTTAAAATGATAGCTCATCGAATAATATCTTTGTCTATTGCCCCGACTTCAAATGGATTTGAGTATTAAGCAGCCAAATCAAGATAATAGACACCAAAAAAAACGGAGAAAGGCACGCTTCAGTACAGTTTTTCATTAAACAATTCTCGTCAGAGTCACTCTGAAAAGCACACTCTGCTTTTATTATATCGTACTACTGTAGTCAAGCTACGGTACATAATTTTAATAAAGTCACAACACGGGCGACTGTAAAATTCGCTACTTTAATTTGTCACTGCTACTGCCTGGGTGAAGAAAATTGGACCTTGTTCACAGCTTTTACTGAATACATTTTGAAACAGTGTCACTAAAGAGCACAAGTACACAGTTACACTAGGTTCCAAGTAATGTCTGTAATTACGCAATTATTTCGTGTTTTCCGCCCTGTCTGGTCAAGTGCTTGGCAATGAAATTTACATAGGTAACATTGTTGACTTTCCCAACTAAACTTGTTTAGACAATCCTCTTTAGCTTGGCGTTCCCTTTAGGTTTATAGTTTATGTACACTGTAAAATAGGATTACAAGCAAGATGGAAGTCTGATGGGATAGCGTAGATTTGAAGCGTGTGCGAGGTTCACCTGCTAAATCGACTTAGTGAACACGTAAATAACACCAGTTTCCTGTCTTAGGGAATTTACTGTAGAGAGAAGCGAATACATCATTTGGTAACAAAGATGTAATTGTAAGAGTTTTGACTCTCCTTTTGATATAGACAAAAGCATACAAGTTGTTGTGAAGATTGCTTATCAGTAGAAAAATAAAATGTTTTAAAAACTCTTTAACAATCGGCGTGTTTCGTATTTTATGTTTCTTAAACTCAATTAAGTAACTTTTCACGTTTTTAAAAATAAAATGGTAAAATCGTTACATATTTGCTAGACTAGTGCTAGTGAAAATTGTAGGTATATTTATTTTTAAACGGTGGTACTACGATCGACCAAGAAATTGGTCTACCCTATTTTACCAGAACATTATGTGTAATCAAAATAACAGTAAGATAACAATTACCTTGTTTGATATAAAATAAAACTAGTGGTAGTTTGAGAATAAACGACGATTTCAGTGGAGTAAATGACAAAGAGAGGATTAGTTACAGTCTGAATATTTATTGTGAGGCAAAATAAACCTACTTATTTTATGACTTGCAAATATAATTCAAATTTAGGATCGACATTTTCGGCCGATCATAATTACTGGCTGACTGATTAAATACTTTTTACTGATGAATACTATGTTACACTTATTGCATTGAATATTATGTTTCCTGTGTTATTTTCTCGAACATGCTTCGAAATTAGAGCATTGCTTTGATAACTTTCTTCGAGATAAATGGAAATTGCTCTATTGTCCACATACATGCGAGCAGCGGCCGGCAAAAGTTGTATGAAAATCCATATCTGTCGTATTCAGCGACCAAATAAATTACATAGTAATCTCTTATTTAAAAATGGAACGACCTTTCACTTTGTAACATGGAAACTTACAAAACAAAGGTTTTATTCAAATGTCGAAATGGATTTTGAAATAGAAAGCTGTTAAAGAAAAAAAACGTACCTACACTTTTACATGGGATAAATATTGTTGGTCGTTGTTGGTCAATGATTTTCCAGTCCAGAATTTCGAAAGTTCTGACTTAGTTTTGTTTTCCGCTCATTACTTAAGAAAAGTACTATACAAGCCTTGGTCACAACTACACGTTCGTCCATCAATGCCTCTTTTGCTGGCCGCTTCAGTAATGTACTATTTCTTTTTACTTAACAATTGATTTTCCTCCTAGGGGCGTAACGGCAAAGGGTCGATATTCGTTTGGGCTTCAGGCAACGGTGGTCGGGAGCACGACAATTGCAACTGTGATGGCTACACAAACTCTATATGGACGCTCTCAATATCTTCCGCCACAGAACGCGGAGAGGTGCCCTGGTATTCAGAAATGTGCAGTTCTACGCTCGCTGCGACCTACAGCAGTGGTGCTATCAACGAGAAACAGGTAATGGAAAGTAAACGTAGCGAAATATTTTTCTGGAAAGTTGTTTTCCGTTTTAGGATTTGCGTTAAAGCGCTGTGCTTTTTTAAACTGAAGTAGATGGGTTATATTTTCATTATATTTGAACTTTCAGAACGAACGCGTTGAATGAAATGAGATATAATGATACGATTATAATTTGGATTTCATAGTATCTATACTTCTAAATATATTGTTAAATTTTACGCAAATTTAAGTAATAAGATAGTATAGTCATTCCACTATAAAGTTGTTTTAGAAACTATCAAGTTGAAGGCGATAGTTCTCAATTATTTTCTGGCAACTCATATTCAACCAATGCTAAAAATAGCGTCTTGTGATGTAGCATGCAGCGTTATTTACCCACATACCTACACCAGTTATAATCAAATATTTTTTATTATTAGACACTATTTTTATTATTACAGAAGATTGCAAACGTCTTTTTACCGTCTCCGTCCCTCCTAAAGTCACCCTTATTTTCTCCAGGGGTAGATTTATTCCCTTGTATCTACCTAATTACAATTTATTTTCCACGATGTCACGGAGGGCCGCTCCATTTATCACATTCTTGTTTTGTTTTAAACTGAAAACGTGACGAATTTCAAATTCTATTCTTGAAATTTTATTTGAAACTTTTCTGCTACTTCTTTTAACTGTTACAAGTTTAATTTGAACCGAACTCTGTGTTAAAAGTTTGTGGATAGACTATATTATACGGTCGTAACTTTAAACACAGGACTGTGCACTGTGTAGTTACTCATGTCTTCTTTTGTTTGTACTGTGTGTTAAATAATTTGATGTATGTATATGGTCTAACAGAAAATAAAAAAATATTGTAAAAAACAATAGCGGGACTAAACTTAACTACTCCTACTGCAACAACTTGATAAAAATTTAACAATGGCGCAATTACATTTGATCGTTAGCCCGTATTCGATTGCACGATAGACATTACTTAAATTCGGACACCCGAAGCAATAATTGCATTGTTTTCGGGTACTGGAACACGGGCAAACAACCCTGTACCCGCGTTCTAGATAGAACGAAACGAATACGGGCGTACTCGACTCCGTTCATTTACACTTAGTCGTTTGTCCGAATTCCATAGGTACTCGTATTCGGGATAGCGACCACGTGTAATCGTGCCATGAGTCTTTTGCAAAATTGATCTAATGGGTAATATAATTACTACCAGTATGCTTGGAGTTGGCCATCGATGACCGTTACAAAATGTGTCACAGACCAATCACAGGCACACCAACTGGTAGTAGGGTATATCTAGGAGCGAGGTGCGGTGAAGCGGGGAGGGTGGGAGCCTAGTATAGAAGCTTATTCAAAATATTACCCCACTTGTTTTGTTACTTTTCCCCCTTTTCATGGACTTCAAAATAATCATATCGATCTATCCCTTATACAATCTCAAGCAAAGCCTATTTACAAATGATTTCATATTTTTCGCGTAAATTTATCTTGCAAGATAGTTTGGCAGAGATCGTTGGAGATTTATATTATAGTCTGTTTATCTATCATCTTTGATAGTCTGCCAGTGAACTCCGCAAGGAATATGATATGACTTGTAATAAAAAAAAATATATAGAAGTTTTGCCGAATGTGGCTTCAATAGGGTTTAGTCAAGAGAGTAAAGTTTACTTATTTATTATTCTAAAATCACAATCTATGAAATAAGTATAAAAAGTTGACCCTAAACGACCATGTAGCATGCTAAAAATACATGGAAACTTTATTTGCTGTCATGCATGTTATATCGATTAGATGCATTAATTGACGTGAATAATATGCAAACGTCGCAATATAATAGGCTATTTGACAGTATGAAAAACAGAGTACCAATTGTTGGCATCTGTATTTAATATGAATATTAGAAGTGATTTTACTATCCTGAGAGAACAAATTATTAATGAAATAAATCTTTAAATAGAAATGACTTTTTTTGTTCTATGGACATGTGACCGAAAACACCTGGGATTGATGTAGACTAAAATGACGTCACACGCTAGTAAACTTTCGGTCAATGAACCATTACATTGTATCATTTGATGTTTTAATGACAGTAGTTACACGTCACATACTAGTAAGACGCCATAATGTCCAGAGAAACGTTTTCAAGATAACTTGAAAAAATAATTTTGGATTTAGTTTTTTTTATTAAAATGCACAACAGAATGTTGAATGTCCAATTTTTATGGACTCCCGAAATATCAGCGAATAACGTGAGATTATTTTCTAAAATTTGTCAAATACCCTATTCCGGACTTATACTTACTTATCACGGAAATGCATTTCATGCTGCATGAACGTCTAGGAACACCTTTAGTAGTGAATTTATGTATCATCATTGGCCTAATAATGTCCCCACTACTGTGGCAGTATATTTCTATAGGATGTAATATAATAGGAAGATGGGCCTTGCATGACCCACCATATAGTTATGGGTATCTAGTAACGACAGCCAATGCTACCGACGACTACACTCAACGACTGAACGTTCCGAATCATGGAGTAGATCTTGATATTTTTTTGTTTTCCCACTTAGAAAGGCCATTTTAGGATATTCAACCATATAGCATGTACAATATAGTATATGGGTGAATATCCCAAGGGCATTTTTTGCATTGCCAAGCTGCGAATGCCAGTGTAAAGTGCATATTTTGTCATAAGATTATCTTCTAGCTTGCTAAAACTAAGTTGTGAATTGACTAAATGAACAGATGTTTACCTATATTAATATTAATATTGATTTTACTAAAAATAAAATAAGGTCTATTTAAGTAATTGTTGGCATGTCCTCAGCTGACTTCTCCTCGAAGATGCACTCACCTTTATTACGTTCTAAGTTTTTTTAACTAAAAGTGACCATTTATTAATAACTTATGTAGTTGGAGTATCTTATTGTTTAAACAGCCTGCGACCGTGGAAGTTGAGCAATGTTTGCAATGGTCGGTCATTGGATGGGTGAACAAAAACTTATTATCTTGAGCTACTCCGTGCATAGGAGGGCAAGTTAAGCAGTTGGTCCCGGCTGCATCTGAAGTCGTTAGCACCCAGAAATCCACACTGGGCCCGCATGGTGGGTCATGCATGGCCCAATCTCCCTACTCCATCCACAAGGAAGGTCTGCGTCCCAGCAGTGGGGATATTAATAGGCTGATAATGATGGTATATATCAGGTGGTGACAACTGACTTACATCATTCCTGCACTGCGGGTCATACGGGCACGTCGGCGTCGGCGCCGCTGGCCGCCGGCATCTGTGCACTGGCACTTCAAGCTAATAGGGACCTGACATGGAGAGACATGCAGCACATTGGTAAGTCAACTTAGATCATTTTAATCCGCCTATACATATTGGCCAAGTGTAGACCAATACCAACGAATAGACAGCATTTTTGTCTTGCCTTTTCATCGCTCGGTGTCGCTTGCCTAATTTGCCGAGTGAAGAGAAGCGCCAACATGTATAGACCTCATTTGGCGTCGCTTGTTGGCACGCGATGTCGCTTGCCAACATTTGTCTTACGTCGTCCATGATAACTGATAATGCACCAACTTGTGGTTCTTAACCTTTTAGTGACGTAGGACCATTTGTCAAAAATTTTGTCTCACTTACCACCACTTACGATTTGCAAACGATTCATATTTCAACTGCTTCCAATTTTATAGATGAAATGCTCTATTCTATGGGACTTCGTTATTTCACCTTACAAACTACTTTTTTATTTATTTAAAATTTAAATAGGGTTTTGGTCTTGTTTAAAGGAATTGAATTAGTTTAGTAAAGTTGATGTAAACTGAAAAAAATTTATTGCACTTAAAACATTTTTTCTTGTCACATTCATTAATAAACGTTGTGTCAGCTTGTTTCTACCCAAGTATCTCTGTAATTCCATCACTTGAGACACTTTCCCGAGACCCATTTAATTGTCATAATACTCAAAGATCAAGTAGCAAGAATAAAAACACTTTGAGTTCCACTCTCATTACATTTAAGTACAAAAAGACGTCCGCTTTGAAAGATTCCACACAGTCTATTTATATGAAGGAAATTCTTTTAAATATAATGAATTGCCTATCTTATGCCTCTAGCTAAACACTTGTAGTGAAATAGTGCAACATGAGATCGAAATAAAACTATAATTCACTCGTGAGATTGAATATTTCGTATTCACTCTCTATATTAAAAAGGCAGTTTATACGTTTACACGTTTAATGAAATTCTTTAAAACTAATTTTAAGTTTTTTTGTGTGCACTGTGCCTTAGCGTGTAAATAATTACAAAAAAGTACTCATATCTCTTTTGTTTTTTGTGCAGTGGTACGAACCGCTAAGCCGGAGCGGCTGAGTCTCGGCGGTGAGTGGCGCGTGAACGGCGTCGGTCGCAACGTGTCGCACTCGTTCGGATACGGCCTGCTTGACGCTGCCGGCATGGTGCGACTGGCCAGGTCCTGGAGGACGGTACCGCCACAGCGCAGGTGTGAACTAGCCGCGCCCAGGTCGCAGCGGCTCATACCAGCAACATCGTCGGTCTCTCTTCAAGTGAGTGTCCACCATTCTCATCATTGTCCCATTACTGAGATACTACCCTTGTCTATATGGCGCCAAGAATTTGTTTTTTGTCTCACCGCATATCCAAGTGATTGGTGGGTGCGGTGTAGTCGGAAATAACTGCTAAGCCAGAGAGAGAGATACGGCACTGGCCGCGCCCAGGTCGCAGCGGCTCATACCAGCAACATCATCAGTCCCTCTTCTGGTGATTGTCTACCTTTTCACTGTCCCATTGCTGAGATACTACTCTTGTCTATGGCACCAAAATTTGCAATTGACTCATCACATGGCATTTAGCCACGGCCTGCTTGACGCTGCTGGCATGGTGAGCCTGGCCAGATCCTGGAGGACGGTGCCGCCGCAACTCAGGTGTGAATTACCGCGCTCAGGTCGCAGAGGTTCATACCAGCAACATCGTCGGTCTGTCTTCAAGTGTGTGTCTACTATTCTCATCATTGTCTCATTGCTGAGGTACTTGTGACCCATCACATGGGCCCAATGCAATCAACTGAATGCTGACGATGCAGATGAAATCAACGGCTTAGCATGTTTCTGCAGCTTCATGTTATAGTGATGTTTATTAATACTGTGTTAGATTTATTTGTTTGTTTATACTTACTCTCTTTGGGATCACAGTAGAGTCTAGGAAATAAAGACTGTATCGATTTAAAGTGGCGCCTGCTAAATACACTATTAATATTCCAGTTTACATCACGTGGTTTACATTAATTCTCAGCAAATCCTACAAATAAGCTGCGACATATTACTAAGCTCGAGGAGCGGTCGGCTGTGGTCGTTGAAGTTAAGCAACTTTCGCAGTTGTCGGTCATTGGATGGGTGACCAAAAATTTACTATCTCGAGTTCCTCCGTGCTGCGAAGGAACGTAAAGCCGTTGGTCTCGGCTGCATCTGCAGTCGTTAGCATCCGCCATTCGGAACTGGGCCCGCGTGGTGGGTCATGGCCCATTCTCCCTATTCCATCCACAGAGAAGGCTTGTACTCCAGCAGTGGCGTCATTAATAGACGTATGATGATGATAAATATTACTAGCCAATCTACACTGACTCAATCACCACGTTAGTTTCAAAAACACGTTGAACAAAGTACAGATGAAAATTCTCAACTGGTAGGTTACAAGCCACAACGCCTTTTATTCCAGTTCACTTTACAGGTTTAACACTGGTCAGGTCACATCATTCAATATTTTCCAAGAGCGGACCGATATAAATATTGGAGCTTATTTATTTCTGCACTCGATCGCTTCAGGTTTTCGTTGTTTACTTTTATTAAAATTCTTTGTTGAACAAAATTAAAATACTTTTTCTCTGATTTATGAACAGACCGTTCAGTCATACACCACACAAAAGAAAACAATGCAGTGCAGTATGTGATATCAAAGTAGCGTGGTAGGAAATATTAAAGGCGAAATAGCTACTTTCGTTTAAAGTTCGGCGAGGAGCTCGTTAGCGCTATGGGTAGCGCGATCTGTCTGCGATCGTGGAAGCTAAAGAACTTTCGTCATAGTCGGTCATTAGATGGGATGGGCGAATAAAAATATCATCTTGAGTTCTTCCCAATTTTAGAATATAATAGAAGGTATGTTAGGCCATTGGTCCCAGCTTCTTCTGCATAAATCTGCACTGGTCTTGAGAGCTACGTGGTGAACCGTTCTCTCTATTCAATTCATAAGGAAGACTTGCGTCTCAGCAGTGGGAACCTCAATAGGCTTGTTGTTGAAGAGACGAATTCTACCCGGGTCTAGGCACGGTTTCAAACCGTGTCTACGTCCAGTGTAGTTAGGTATGGGACACTATGTAGGTTTATTAATGACACCGGCGCTTTAGCAGTGGTTTGGGGTCGGTGCAGATGTACAAACCGTGCTCATGAACAAGCTTAGCTTAGCTGACACCAGCCCGGATAGAAATCGTCTCGACAACAAGCTCCCTTACTGTTAAAAGAATCTTGGATAAGAATTCCACCTATTATGATAATACTCATAGCCATACGTCATCCATCCTGTATAAAAGTGACTTAAATATCGCGCATTAAACCATCCTCCTCTAGGAATTATCGAACCTATATTTTCGCAGTTGGATGTGGGGTCATGTCCTGGAGTGAACTATTTGGAGCATGTGCAAGCTCGCGTCTCACTGTCAGCGGCGCGGCGAGGCGATATTCGCATCACTTTGACATCACCAGCCGGTACCAAAGTTACCCTGCTCGCTCCCAGGTACGTATAGTATTTCTTTTGTTTTGACTTAAGCTACAGGGCTTTTTAATAGAAACAAGGTATCTTTGACAGAAGATATGCCGAGCATTATACGAAGCCGAAGTGGTCATTTAAACGATATCGTGTTTTCACTGACGATGCCAAAAATGAAGCTCCCAAAAAAAATCAAAATTTAATCCAATTGTAATAAATCAATGTGATTTTATTCAAATATTCCCTTTTTTTTGAAAAATATGTTCATTTTTAGGGTTTCGTACTCAAAGAGTAAAATCGAGACTATTACTAAGACTCCACTGTCCATCTGTCTGTCTGTCACGAGGCTGTATCACATTAACCCGGATAGCAAGATAGTTGATATTGTCATAAATGATGTATTTCTGACACCAATGGGATTTTTTGCCGATTTTTGCCCGATATTATAATAAAGTGTCTAATATTGTACGAAACTCTTAACGCGCGAGTCCAACGTATTATCGTCGTATTTGAACGGCTTTTGTATTGCTTTTGACGGTTTAATAAATTTCAGCAATAAATGTTTTCAGTGCATGCAAAAATCCTTTACGTCAACCTACACAAATCATAATTTTCACTGTAGCCCTCTACTCCACGTACACCACAAACTTTCCGGTAAAATTGCGAATGCACCTCGCAATTGTTTTGACGCATAATACTACTTGGATAAATGCCGAATGTAACTACAAACCAAAAGTAGGTTCACTGTGCCAAAATAAAACAGGAGATAATTCCGCTTCAACAATAGATGATTATGGAAATAGGGACAATGTGAGGCCGGTGTAAAGTTTCTTGGTGCATAATTACTAAACTTGTTCGGGCAGGCTAGGCCGGGTTCACTTACTCTTAACATCAGGCATGTTAGATGGTTAGTCACTTTGGGAGCGCTGACGTCATATTTTAATATTTAGCACTTAAGTTTGCGGTAGTTAGGTGTATCAATCAGGCTAAGTTATTAGTGGACGCTGCCCTTAGCATGACTCGGACATAATGATAGTAAGGCATGAATTCGCTAACGTCACGATTCAATATCAAAATCTTTGCATAATAAACATATTCTGCTATTTAATATCAGAGGGAATTCGGTCATTGTCTTTTGCACTCGGCAAAATATGAGGGGACTGTTTTATTAAATACTATAAATATTTTCAAAGTATTGATTGATAAATGCTGCTCGCGCATTGCAAATTAATCTTCTATGTAGTATAACTAATAACCTTAATTATTCGAATCACGTTATGAGTAATGAGAGTTGGGTTCCTAATTGGATATCCGTTTTTCAGAGCACACGATTCCTCCAGGGCAGGATTCAACTCTTGGCCTTTTATGTCCGTGCATATGTGGGGAGAGTCCCCGCTAGGTGTCTGGCAACTCGAAGTGTCAAACGAAGGCAGATACAGTGGTAAGTTAAGAAAAAATATAAATTGAATTACAAAATCAATGTAATATTTGTAACTGTAATTAACATTTCAATTGACATTTTTTATCCTCCGATGTCTTCTTTGGATGTGTTCTTAAAATCTATAATTGCTTAAATAAAATCACACTTCGTCTTAGATAATCTAACCTTATCATATTCTTTTTGAAAGAAATAAATTTCCCATCCATGACAATCCATTTCGATTCATTAGGTCGAGCAACATTGCAAGATTGGTTTTTAACCTTATACGGAACTAGCACGCCAGCAGCTAAAAATGATCCCGTGCCGTTCCGAAATCCGATTACCGCACGAAACAAGAGCAACGCGTCACGACCCGTAGTGGTCCAATCAGGACGGAAAAACAGCCGGGGGAAAGCTGTCTCCATCGTGCCCACCTACACCGTCGGCTTAGTGAAAAGGAAAAAGAATAAGAATTCGAAAAATTCAAACAGGAACTCGCAGAAATCAAAACAGAGCAGGCCCGCTACGCGATCCCCGATAGAAAGCACCACAAAGTCTACGACGACCACAGCGGCGCCGGACTTAAGCCTCAACTTGCGAGGAGACATTTCCGACCCCCTAGCGGATCCTAGAGGCCGCAAGATGTCCAGCCTCTTCGAGCAGTATCCGAAAATCCAACGGATATACCCTGCGCCGCTCCAGGCCAACGGTACTGCTGTATTGGAGATGCATGAGTTGTGTATGTTCGTAGAGGCAATCGTTTTATTTGGTCCGCCTAGTTTGAGCCCGCACGTCAATTACTCTAGTTCCGGACTCCGCTCTTTGCATGTCGTGTGTTTGCATTGTTAAATTTTTATTTCGTAGTTGAAGTTCATTCAACAGTGTTTCGTTCGAATACCGTTGTATTTTCAGTTGCAATTAATGTTTCGCGGTACTCGAAATATCTTTTCATGTATTATTTTTGTTTATGCTTCGTTCCTTTCCTTTTGTCGATTGATTAAATTAGCATTTAGTATTTTTTATTTGCTGTCATTTGAAATATGCACCTATAACAATATTCAATGATTTAATGAAGAGAATGCTCACCAACATTTTGCTACGTAAAATCACGTTAAATTCCAGTTAAGTACATATTGGATTTCACAGAAATTCAATTAATGATTAACTATGAAATGTTTGCATCATTCATTTCAATATTATGTATTTGATAAAATATCTAATTATATTTTCTGTTTTAAAAATAATGTAAATAAAATTAATGCTTACCCTTGTTTTGAACTTTATGAGCATTTAACTAATACGCAATGAGCCGATTATGCAGACAAATTTGAATTCATATTGAATGGTAAATGTATTCGAAATCGAATGATATTTGTTCGAAATCATATAGTTTCTTTGTCAGGTATATTAAATCAATGGTTAACAACACTGTAACCAAATTTATTTTTCTGTGCAGCTGGACCGCTTTCTCAGTGGGAACTGATCTTCTATGGTACTGAGACGCCCCCTCAAGAGTTTGACGCCTCGCCTGAGACGAACGCGTTGGCTCCAAACCCAGTTGTTCCAGTGACTTTATGGAATCCCAGCGAACCCGAGTCTGTGGAAGAAATCAAGCAGAATGCCATTGAAGATGACCCAGCTTTGGTGTGGCATGATTCACATACGGTGAGCTATAATTTAAAATATATCCCTAACGGCATCAATTTAAAATATAAGCTATGATTTGTAATTTCGTTAAAGTAAATAGTTATTTGTGGTGGAAACCTGATGACCGGTTTTCCACAAGAAAATATAAACTACTAGCTATGCCCCGCAGTGTTAACCGCGGTTTATTAGGGATATTTCCCGCAGTAAAAGGTGGCCTATGTGTTAATCCAGGATGTAAGCTAAATCCATACCAAATTTTATTAAAATCGCTCCAGCCGTTAAGACGTGAAGAAGTAACAAACATACACACTTATAAACTTTCGCCTTTATAATATTAGAGATCTTTTATTTACATATAGGCATATTTACCCTACTGTTGCTTAAACAATAATTAGGTACCTAGTATTTTATTATTTTTGTAAGATTGAAGAGGCGTCAATTAAGTTTAAAGTTCGATTGAAGTTCAAAAGATGAAAGATCATTTAACATGAAAGATCTCCTAAATTAAAAAGAGAACAAGTACCTACTAATGTACTCTACTAATAGAATCAAAGTAAACGAGGTGCTTCAACTTAAGCTAATACACTCTGAGTTTTAAATCTATGACTAGGATGAATTTCTAAAGAATCTTCAGGAGTACTATAAACTAGAAATTGGATTGGATATTGATTTTAACGACGTAGATACGTTTAGATACCAAACAATCAAAATTTTTATTATTGTAAATTTTGGGCATAGTTTTGTTGGTTGGCACAATATTTAATACTAGGTAGTAGTAGAAAAATATCCACGCAGTCTAGAAAATCCAGTACTAGAAAAATATCCACCAGGCAGCAGGGGGGACTCGAACCCGAGTCGAATCGATTGTTTTCTTGTAATATTTTCTTTAGAGTTCAACATTGAGCAGTTACATGCATAAAAAAATAAAATTATAACTATGTTTCACTCCTGGAAGAGCGCAAAATAAAAACATCGAATGCGCTAGTTACCCACTTTCCTGTGCAGGTAGTAAAAACTTATCCATAGCTATTCGAGAACTATAATGAAACTGCAATCTATCAACTTTCAGACAATATCTTAGCTCTCTTGACACCAAACAGAGCCAAATATGTTGCCGTTGAGGTATGGCTGTGTGAGTGATGTCGATATAGCCAACCCCACAGGGGAGTTATGTTACCTTAATATTAATATAATAATGACTTTCCCCCTTCTGTTTTTGACTCCAAAATGTACTTGTAGTTGTAGGTATGTCTATGTCGTAAGATGATTTTGATAAAAACGAATTTACGCGTTAATCCTAGGAATTTAGATTTAAATGCGGATGATTAGACAAGCGATGGCATTTCTCAGTCTTACTGAAAAAAGATAAGATTTTTGCGAAAAAGCGAGTCGCCTCAGCAACGGCCGGCGAAGCACCAAAAAATACCGTTAACAGTAAAATTGAGCAATTTCATCACCATTGTTTAATTAGCCGCGTTTTCGCAAATCACTAGGATTTTTGCGAAAATTCGATTTATCAAATCATCCTAAAACCTATATACATACTTAACATTTAGTGCGATGAAATAATCAAAAGCAGTTACTCTATTAATATCGATATATTTATTTTTCAAACATGTTTCTTCTGAACCTTGTTAAAATAATCATTTAGCAGTTTAATTTCTTATAATTAGTCTCCCCGAGACAATGTTCCTTTATTCAGTTGAGATATTTGTCCGACTTGTGGTGATAACACATCAATTAATAAATACATTAATGTATATGAAAGCATAACAAACACTTAATAAAGTTCTCAATATTCCTGCACCATAAAACAATTAACGAAATGGCTCTTTCATTTGGACTCGCTGTGTTCTAATAGAATTGAAATACCAAAACTACTGCATTTCACCCTAATTGGCGGTCCACTCAATCAATAAGTACTTTGAAATTCCTGTATCAACTAACGAACTACTCATTAAAATTTTGTAGATAGCATCCGTAATAAATTCGAAATGGCCTGGTAATTATTGCCATGATTAAATTATAATTTAAGCCGTTACCAGGTGTAGGTAAAGAATTAATGTGTAATATTTATAGAACTATTATTTTTATATTGCTAAAGATTGATTTGAATTTATTCTAGAGAAATAAATCAAAAATTGAAAAAATTGAAAATTTTAACATCAGACGAAATTAGTCACTAATCTAATGTTATGGCTCCCAAAAATGATTACCTCGTTAATAGCATTTTAGTAAGACAATGAAGCTTATAATATAACTGAAACTCAAAGCCATATAATACTAACTCAGATCTGATAAAGACTCGTGTATAGATTTAAGATAAGCACCTATAATACATCAAACAGGACATACGCAGAACGAGCGCTCTGTCAAGACGGCTTTGATGAAACTCTCTGTATGAACCTCTTTGGACTTTGCTCATATTGTGAGGAAACCCAGCTATGTCCTGATACATATCACACGAGAATTATTTCATGTTGCGAGACCCTTTTCACAGTTCGCGTCATCAATCAAAGGATGAGCGATTTTTTCGTCTGTTAAAATTGTAGTGCTAACGTTATTGTCCTTCACTCCTTTTTGAGATGTCGCAATCCCTTATCGTATACGAGACATTGTCAATAAAAGATTAATAAATCTTTATTGTTATTCAATGTAGATCTTTCGATTCTCCTGAGAGCTGTGACTGGATCATACTGGTACGAAAAATATTCGAACTGTCTTACTAATATGAAGATTTTAGTTTCTTGTTGTTTGAATAATGTATCTAATTGGTTTAGAATAAGTAATTAGTCTATTGAGTACTCAGAAGTAGTTCATAAACATATAAAGTAAATAATTAAACTAATTCGTTTTGTAGTTCGTTGTAAGAATAAACATAAGCACTCTAAATTTTTAATTATGTCAGTATAACGCACACACTTTCCGTCAGTTAGGTTAGGCTCGTATATTTAATATAATAGCTAAAACATATTAATATATTTAACAAAATGTAGTTCATTTTTTATCCATCACTGTAATTGAAGTATGTATCTTTGCAGAAATAATATTTGTTACCATCACTATCATAAAATAAGTAGGAATATATAGATAGATTGCGTGTTATCAACCGATGTACATTGTTAATGATTGTCAAATGATGTAGTTAGGATCCCCTTTTCAACATGCATTCTGAATTTGAAGCAAAATATCTAGAAACGTGACGTCACTCATTCAATACTCGTCTTTACTAGGATCTCTCCTGCAATCACTGATTTAGACAGACTTAAAGATGTTTAGATTTTCAACAATGGTTTTGTTGTAATTGAGATAATGTAACCAAACTTAATTTCAAATAGTAACTTATTCAATCTGGATACAAATTAGTAACTGTTTTTTTACATAGATTCGTGAAGAGAGCATACCGTCGTTGGTGGCGAGCGACCCAGGCGTCATCGATCAGCAATACGCGGGTAACGGCGCGTGCGCAACGCACGCACATACGCCACCCCATCGCTGCCTAGGTTTGTGCCTCTTGCTCCTGTTACTACTATCAACAACCGACGCCTTTACTCATTCTCCCAATAGAACTAAAACCTGCCACAAGGCAAAACCATGTAGGTTAAGATGCGACTGTGTGCTAACTGCTAGTCTAAGTTTAGATTTAATATCACCTGTCGCAAGTTCGAGACCGTCAAGGGCCCCGTGCTTACAAGTGCAGTAGTCCAACCGAGTCCACTAGTAATGTTAAAAGGATTGTGTTAGGCGTTCGAAAACCCTTTTGTAGTACACCATCGATTTCGGAAGATGGCGCTACGTTGATAAGATCCGTTGTTTTATAAATGGACTAAGTGTCTGTGTACAAAAATATTGTACATGTTGTAAAATCTGTTACGGGTAATAATTCAATCATGAGTGTCGTTGTCAACGTGGTTCCATTTTGCGAGAGCAAACATTCAGCTTTTATACAATTCAATGGACAGCAGCAAAATGTGCAGAATTCAATTAGCTTAATTGAATAGTCAGAATCGAAAAATTGCAAACTTTATAATAATAAAATAATAATTTACGGTTTAATTTTAATATAAGACTTTTTAGAGTTAGTTACATTGTTATTGCATAATATTTATAATTTTTGAGTATGTACATAATTTATATTTCTTCTATCAAGAGAACATATGTGATTTGAAATTAGCACAATAACTTACTTTTGTTTGGCACAACATTTTTTATATAGATTTTTACATGTTTTACTTTTAGCTTTAATAAAACTTTTAGATAAAAACTCCTCAATCGCAATATGTGTTAGAATTTCAATTATGAAGTGATTCATACAAATAATTACAGATTATGATTCGCAATATTTCGTAAACCCTCTAAAATCCCCCTTTTGAACGAAAATTAGTTACGATAAACCCTTAGACATAAACATCTAACGCTTTCTTAATACCACATCTGATGCCCCATACTTAGACGCTCCCCCCGTGAAAAAGCTATTAACCACACGGAATGGGGATCTATTACCAACTCAAGTTAATTTAAGCCATCTATCTAAAGGAGCTTAAATATAGCTTAGTAAAAGTTTGTATGTAGTTAGTGAATGTAAATTTTGAATGTATAGGTATCTAAGTATAGGGAATCATTATTGATCAATGATCATTATTTTTCGTGCGAACTCAAGAAGATTATTTATGTTTTATATATTTGTACAAGTTTAGTCTTCCTGTGAAATCAAATGCATTTCTTTCGATTCTGTCTATCTGAATAATAGGTATATTCTAATGATCGATATAATAATATTTATGGTTAAGTGATAATCGTATATCCAATGGTGGGTAGGCTATTGACGAATTTCAGTGACTTTAAGACGAAATTTCAAACCTATGAGGCATATTTTGGTGTGCAGCTGACCAGCTTCGTTCCCATATAGTTTGACTAGCGGCCGCCCGCAACGTCGTCTGGGTTAACTTTGGTTTTCTGACAATCCCGCAGGAACCTCACATTTCCGGGATCAAAAGTTTCCTATATCTTAATCCAGGTCATAAATTTAGGCGTACCAAATTTGTGTGAGCGTGATTGAGTAACAGACATACAAACAAACAGATACTTATTGATAAACGCGATTTTACCCTTAAATACGGAAAATAGTTCACAGAAAACAAACGGTCGAGCACAAAATGGACATCCCAACATTGACCCATGTACTGCCAAACTTGCCGTCCTTGGGTTTTGGCTACGGGTGCTATTTATACATAAATTTCAACGCTAAAACTACCGACATACTCTGTGGCTCTATCAATTCTTAAAAGAGAATGTTTGTATACATCTTTTTATTTCATCGTTGTTATCTAAACGATTTCATTATTGTGATCATCGTCGAGTTTATTAGAGAATAGCATACTGTACACACTTCTAAATTACAATATGGGAGGCCGTTAAGTTTAAATTCAATGCCCAATGCCTAAACATTATTTAAATACATTAATTAACACAGACACTTTAAATTCGTCAAGAATCTACATTCATGGGATCCGAACTTAGTGTTGCTTTTATGGTAGCTGTTTTAAGGCAGCATGTGATTTTACTTAAATATACCAAGTTAAAATTAAGTACAAGCTGTTTATGTTAACATGGCAACTTATTTTTATTTACGTCACATTTTTATAAGTTAAGTATTAGTATAAATTATACTTAACGTGCATTACATACTGTAAATAGTAGGTAATTAAGGTTTGGTATGATCACTTATATAACTGATAAAATATAAAATTGCAACTATGTATTATATGATTAACTACTTAGAACATTTTGTTCTTCCATTCAAAACGAAACAGATTACGGAATTCTTTGTAAGCTTTATCTGAGTAATTAAAGGTCCAATAGGTTTTATACCTAGTGATTCTGATGTTATCAATTTGCTTGTGATCACTATTGACTTATTGATAATACTACAATATGTACTGTGCGTTATCTATAACTATTTATCATTATACTATAATTATTTTAACACTTTTAACCGCTCTTCCTACAAAATATTAATTACCTATCGTGTTATTTGCAACAATTGGATGCTAGTAAAAAGTCGACTGTTTCGTATTAACAGTGTTTTAGTGACATTTCATGTTATTAAATCCTTTCTTCTTTTTACTGAGAAACCTGAGTGTTAAATTGAATAAGATGCAATTAGAATTCCCTCCGGATGCATATCATAACTAACCAATGTAAAGTTACTTTATTTATTTAGCATAACAGCAATATAAACCGTTACTGCGTTTCTCTTTGAGTTCACTGTAAATACTAGTGTTTGAAGTTTTACTTTGATGTCGATAAAGTCAACGGAGTTTAACAAAATTTTCATGTTAAAAAAATATGTTTTTTTTTACTGTATGTAAGTAACATTGGTCGCATTTTTTGCCAACAAGGAATTGTTAATAATATTTATTTCGTTTCATCCTACTTGATATTGGCATTAGTGCACTTGGCTATTTCAAAGTAACACCCCGCATCCAATGTTCCTTGTTCCCATTAACTCGGCATAATTTTGTCCCCTCGCATTTTTCACTATAGGGAGCAGAAATTCAACGCACATTTTTGGATAAAGCTACAATTTTGGTGGATATTGGATACTTTTGACGATTGTTGGATTTCTGGATTTAGTTTCGAGTCTATGGAATTTGAATTCGTTTGCAACATAAATATTAATGTAATTTTACGTTAAGCTTTTGCTGGGATCATCGTCGAAAACTTTTTCGGGGTTTAATAACGAAAATGTTAACCAAATACTGTTGCTTAATTTAAATGAATAAATATTAATCTTCTTAATAATTGGCGTAACTTATTCGAAAAGCCAAAAAAGTGCAATTACAAAATGTAAAATAATGAGTATCTTTACGATTACATCATAACGTCCATTTGATCGTAACTGCATCTATAAAAATACGTACATTATAAATAAATACTAGATGAGAAAGATCGGGGATTTATAGAGAATGTCACTTTATAGGGATGGTTTTTGTTGAACGTATTTAATCACATCACAGTTTTAATTCACAATTGTTAATAGTTGATTTTCATTATTTGTAAAGATAATAATCACACATATTTTACAAACCACGAATAAATATGAAATGTTATTTTATTGCATATTATTAAATATTTAATTATGCAGGCAACTCACTTGGCTCTTCGTGTTTGCATTTTGTCATTTTGACAGCAGGTTGTCCTTGTCACACCTTATAAAGAATGAAAAGGAGAGAACAGTCTCTGCTTTTCATTCTTTGACATAAACATGACAACAGTGACCTGTTTACAAATCACAAATACTAATAGCCAAGTGAAGTGGCGGCATTATGTCAACGAGACGTCTGAACACGGAAGCGACTGACGCCCCAGAATCTTAAAAGCCGTACTTAGTATCTGTCATTAGTTATTTTAATAAAGAGTATTTATTTTATACTTAACTAATAAATTACTTAATTGTACAAAATAAAACTCCTTTTTTATATCCGCCAATAAACTCAATATCTACCTACTAATTTGCACAAAACAAATCTTATTAACTAGGTACTTAATAGGCAGCTGTTTGAAGAAAGCGATGGTTTTCGAAGCGAAAATGTTAAATCTAATAATTATTGGGCGCACATGCTTGAGTAATCATCTTAGATAGAGAACTTAAGTAATATTTGAAAGGTTGTTCTTAATTTACATTAATTTTATTTATACAACATTAATACAAGTAATCACATTGACAAGCAGTCATATTCTATTTTCTTACTTAATTGAACGAAATATACCAAATCTTAGCGCATTTATTGAAAGTTTACAATGTTATTATTTCTTTTATAATTATTTATTATCTACTTATAGTTAAACTTTAGATAGATCAATAGTGATTAATTTAAATTTGGCGATAATTTCTACTATTATAATTTGTGTGTATAAGAATATCTCTAAATTCTGATATTTTGTTGAATTGTATAATTATTATGGAATACATATCTGTTATAATAAGTTCTGACGTTAAATTGTTGCATTGAAGATGAATTTTCTACATGGTATTATGTGACAGAAATAATTGATTTATCTTGTTTAGGCTTTTTCCACAACTTGTTATGAAACCTGCCAAGTGCCAGTCTTTCTCACATACCTACTCGTATGAAGGCTTCCGAAGATAATTATCTTAAAAGAGTATATAATCATAACATTTGAAATACAGTTATTGATAATATCAGGCAAACTAACAAAGAACATTAAGATTTTAATTTTTATTATTTGTTAGAGAAGCAATAAAAATGCACATTCGAGGAAAAAATATTGTTTATCTATCAGGGCGCGTAACGAGACGGTTTTTCGCCGGATTTAGGCACGGTTTTAAACCGTGTCTACGCCCGGTCGGCTGTTGGGAATGGGCCACTATAGATGCTTCTTAACGACACCGGCAGTAGCGACCGTTTGGGATCTGTACAAATGCACAACCCGTCCTCGTGAACAAACTTAGCCGGCACCCGGCCCGGCGCACAGTGGGCGGAAACGATCAAAACTCGACCGCGCGACCAGTAAATATAATCCATTTCTTTTAAATACTTATAATTATGTCTGCTTTCTTGTAGCATTGTGGAAATTCAGAGGTAGAAACCACCCCTATCAACCCCTAAGCAGGCTAAACCACCAGATTCTGGGTAAAACTAGTTCGATCAACTACATATTAGTTGATCGAACTAGTTTTAGTAGTGTAGCTCGCGTAGTTTTGATCTTTGGGCCGCCGGGTAAAAACCGTCTCGTTAACAAGCGCCCTTACAGTTCATTAGACAAAGCCCTTGACAGATAGATGGAATTCCAAGGCCTATAGGTAGTAACAGAACTCAGTTTTCACCCATTGGAATTTGAAAAATCACATAATCAATTTATAAGTGCAGTATTAGTCCATATTATATTGTCTAAGAATATAAATCAATTACAACTTTACCTTGTTAGTTTGCATGCATTCTCATTAACAGCTTCCTTTTCTACACTCAAAGGACCTTTGAAGTTTTGGAGACAATAAATCATTCCATTTCGTACATACCCAAGCGAGTGCTCCATTTCGAGTGGAAAATACGATGCGCTCAACCTCTCTTAATTAGTTTGGACGCGGTTAGGCTGCAGCTAACACAATTAATGCCTACTTGCACCAAAGCCCTTAATTCAAATATACAAGCTAATCATGTTTAAGTCTCATTTTGTTTCTATTTGATAACCTAATATTGACTATCGTCAAATGGAACAACCCATTTTCTATCTAACTGGTGCCACTCACGCTAAGTTATGAAAAATGTTGTAATAATTTGAGATTAATTTGTTTATTAGCTCCCCGCTGAAATCCCTTGCGTTAATATCAATTGATATACAACTTGCAGATGCCAATGCCGGCTGCTTAACTTCTGATTAAATTCGTTGCGAGAACCAAAACAGTTTTAATTTCCCCAGGGCTTGCTTTGCCCCCATACTCAATTGTGGTAGCCAGTGCTTAACGTTGCCTTAGCGAATTCATTTTCTGAATTGGGTCTGCGAATTGTGGAACAATAATGAGATACCTAGGTGCTGTAAACTGTTGTTTTACTATGTAATCTTCTGGAACGTTCTTATTTAGGTAGGTAATTCTGGAACGCTTTTTTTTACTGTGTTTTTATTTTGAACTAGCAATTCTGTGTATGGGAGTTTCTGGCGCGATTTTAATGTACTTACTACTTTATGATGTTTCATTGTATTGAAATATTGTTTATATATGGACACATGCAGCTTGAGATACCTTTTATAATAAAATATCATAAGTCAGTAACCAAAATCTACTACGAGAATTTTTAATTTTATAAAAAGTTATTCCATAAATCTATAATATTGAGCACAAAAAAACGACAAATTACTTTAAACAGATTTAAAGGAGGCTACTATTACTGAAAATTAATCATTTATATTACAAAAAAAACATTACGTTACCAGGAAGACGTGTTTACTTAAATTATACTAAAATCATGTGATAAATCTTTTTATTATTTTATTAGTTGCTACTTAAACTCTGTCACATTATACCATATTTATTAATAAAAAAACCTAGTAAAGAATAATAAGTATGTACCTAGTTTCATTACGTGTATTACGTAAATCGTAGACATAAACAAAATGCATATTGTGGTTGTGATCATAGCAAAGATTGCCAATCCATTAAGATTAAGTTAAAAAAATAAAGTCGATAATTGAAAATAAATGTAATTAATAACTGTATATACTTAATGAAAAAGTAGCCATGAAATCGGTATAAAAATAAATTTTGAGACTTGTACAAATTTGCTCACGAAACTGTAAATTGAAAACGACTGAACGATCACGATTTCTCATTGACTGGTAGTTAAAACGTATTGGCCGTAAATATTACGTAGGTAGCCTATATAGATAATTGAAAAAAAAAACTTCAGTATTTCCATCTGAATGCGTCTGTGTTCCAATCTGATAGAATAGGATGGTGTGATCGATTTAGTGTAAAAATTGTCTCTTTAACTATAGATAAGTTGATGTAAACAACATGTTTACAATGTGGGCTTTTGCTTCTTTTACATTTATTCCTCTTGTAATGAGACTTGCCACATGGTAAACATGTTGAATACACTGACAATGCGATGTAAGAGATCGCGAACACGCTCATTTTTATAACAATTTTGTTGTTTAAATGTTATAATGGTCACCGAAATTGGCGTTAAGTAGCGATCTAATGAATTATATTTATTAATGTAAATGTTGATGCATAATTTGTATATATAGAACCTAATATGAAAGGAAATAATAAAAACAATCTTTTATTACAAAACTATACAGATTTTCATTTGGAACATTGTAAATTATTACGAGTCTTGTCTCTGATGTCAAAAGAATATTACAATTAGCAGTTAGACACATGTTATTTTTAATTAGAATTTCTTGGGTAATTTACTTAGTTGATAGTAAATGTTGTGTTATAATGACTAGTCAATGTGTTGTCTTGTTGCATGTATGCTTGGCTTAAAACCGCTTTTAACTACACGTATTCATTAATCGCCACTAGAGCTTTTAACAATTCTTTACTACTCAATTAATTTCTTTTACAAGTTTTTCAAGAACCTTTCCTCATTACTTAACACGTTTTACTTTTTTAAAGAGCATGTCCACATTATTTCTTTCAAATTTAGTACTTGTAATAGACTCCTGATTTCATTTAATTTTGTGCACGTCTTCCTTTTGTGCATGTCCAATGTCACGGAGTATTTTGTGTGTTTGTATGAGTTTTATTGATACTTTATTTTGAATATCTATTACAAAATTATTTGAGATCAGCGACAAGATTCTATTATACCTGTCCTCCGTTTCCTCATTACATTTGTGTCACTCCTTTAAGTGTTACCTGACTACGTGCCTCTTCGTGCGACGCAACTGCCTCATAGGCGCGCTAGCAAGACCTCGCAACTGCATGGACGCTGGTAAACTGCTGGGTGGTGGCAGACTATACTTTTTTTTGATCATGTAATTAAACATCTCTGTTGTTTTCTTTCACTAGAATGCGCGAAGGGTTTGCACTTGTCCGATGGACGATGCTACGAACATTGCCCAGGAGGCACTTACCCCAGCGAGGTGCTAACAGAAGGGAAATCAAGAAAACGTAATTTGACGTATACCGAAGGTAACGGCTCTGCTGTTCAGAAAAGACAGAATATTGTGGGGCCAAAGCCAACCGCGTTCGAAGCTTTAGACTTGGAGCCGGCGGGGGCAGCCATGTCGCCTCTTATTTGTCTTCAATGCCATTATACCTGTGCTAGCTGTACGGGTCCGCTCAACAGTCAATGCACATCATGCTTAGACGACGCTCGACTCGTTAACCAAACAGACGTTGAATTGAAAGTTTACTGCTACCCCATAACAGTATTACCGCAGATAGAAAACGTGAACTGGCACTACAGACTAAACATAGCTCTCTCCATAATATTATTTATCGTAGCGTTTTTTCTCTCTGCATACTTTTTGATAACTTGTATTTTTAAAGGCTGTTCAAATACCTGCTGCGGAGGTAACTACAATTCTAATATCAATATAGCGTATAATAAATTAGCTGTCGATGAAAAGGTCCAAAGTGCTGTTGAAGTTGAAGATGAAATAAAGAAGGCTCTGAATGATACAAGCGATAGCGAAACAGAAGACGATCTTAACTTATAGCAATTGCTCACATTCCGCCCAGAATATTACGAATTAATCGAACAAGTAAATGTTAGTGAATAGTGTAGGTAAACACAATGCCTATGTGATATTGAAAATAGATTGTCACAAGTAATTAATTCATAATAATAATTATATTTAGCATTTGCTTTCTATTACACTTGTGTGAGTACATGAATATTGGAATGTGTACAAAAGACATCGATTAGATTTTAAAATTATATTTAGCTACTCGTCGGTCCAAAGAACTAAACTGAAATCTTTAAAATTCTGTTTATTTTACTTCCTACATTCCTCTACAATTACTTTTAAGTGAGAACTTCATCTCAGCTTCTCCTAGTTTATGTTATTTTATAAGTTTTATAAGTATGTTAGTGAACCCAAAACCTTTAGGTAAGTGTCATCAATGTCAACAGTGTCATGGCGGCTGTACACACTAACCTAGAGCCTCACGTCGAGACTCGTTCGAGGAGACACCCGTAACGTGTGTACTGTATACACGCTTATTCTCATTTTCCTTGCGAGATCCAACGAGATCCTTTGACTCGGACGCAAAAGCCAACAAGCGACCGAGACCCATGAGACAAGATTCGAGAAATCGAGACGAGACGAGAGTACCAAGTACAGGCACGTTCTTTGATTTAGGATTCGCCTTAGGTTCAACTTTAGGCGAATTGTCTTAATAAGGTTAATCCAACCTATTGGACAGCAAAAAGACATCCTGAGAGCTAATATTTTGACCAATTACGTTGCTGTCACAACGTTATATGCACTATCTATAGTATGCCAATAAAGAAATTGATCAGTTTACGCGCCAACGGTTCAAATCCGGGAAGCAAACAGACATTTCCGATTTTGTGCCTATTAATCAACTCCTAATCGTATTATGTATTTGGTATCGCTTATAAAAATAATTTTTAATAAAGTAAAGAAATGTTTAAATTAAGTATTTCTGAAAAATTGGATACCGATTTTAATAATACATGTGATTTGATGTAAATATTTTGGATTCTCAATATTTCCTTGTGTAAAAATGACATATTGTTTATATCTATGGACAAAATCAAAAACCAAATGAGGAGCTGGCAAACAAAATGGTATAATTACATCAAATTCAATTTTACAGGAGCTGTAAGAACTGAATGACATACCTACTACTAGTGGGCTTTTGGCGTGATTTTTAATTTAGTAATTTTATCACTATTTTAGGCGGTTTAGATTGAAATGAGTTGAAATTAAAATTTAGCTGGGCCAAAACTTCCAGGCTGTAGAATAAAGTATTATATGGTCAAAACCATATGCGTAATTATACTGTTTTGTTCGCCAGCTTCTCAAATTAATTCCCTTAGCAAGAAGGTTAATATTTTTAAATGCCATTAAATTTGAAAATATTATTAGTATTTATGACGTTTTCAATCTATATTGATCTGGATATTTTGGCCTTATTGTATGCGAATGTTCAAACCACATTTCTAAGGAATGGGTCCCAAATCTGAGCACTTGACTGAACACACTCAAGTCATACTCAGTCTTAGGGTCTCGGCGAGTGTGTACAGCCGGCATCAAAGGATAACGATATAGGTACGGAAAATTGAACTTAACCTTACGAGATAAAAGACGAGATTTGTTCTTCGGGTAAATATCACAATAATTTTGAGATTATTTTTGGTATACAAATAGATAGTTTTGTTATTTTTATTTACGCAGAAAATTTAATGTTTGGGTCGTATTTTAGGCCCACTTGCTGTAATAAGCTAAATCTCGATTCAGCTAAAACTAGATTTAACCCATAGAAAAATATCTAAACGTCAATGTCAGTTTGAAATTTTAGTTAAATTGAGCTTTAGCAAAATTTACTGCAAGTGGATCTTAGTTTAAATAGATGATATAGGGTAATAATTTGATGCATGTATTATAATAAAGCTAGCGTTCTCGACAAGGACGGAGCACTTTAAAGCATAATAATATTACTTAAGTAAATTTGCTCAAGTTGCCATTTCATTTATTTGTTTTTAGTTGGAGCCCTTCAATGTAAATATTTTGTATGTAAATAAATGAGTTCCTATTTTCATTTGATATTTTATTTTATTTTTTTCCTTTTTTATTTGGTACAAGTAAACATGCAGTTTGTGTTGCATGCATGTTTTAATTCCATTATATTTTTAAATATTTTATAAAAAAATAGTGTTGCCGTTTGTTTAAGAGTTTAGGTCAAGTATAGTAAACGCTTTTAAAAAAATTAACAGTATCGAAAACAATAGAGCACTGGATCATCTATATAAATAAAAATGAATCTGCGATATGTAAGTACGCACATAACTTTCGAAATGCTGTTCCAAATTTTTATTGTAATGACAAGGTTTGTATGAAAGTTTTTCTTGATAACTACTACTTACTTACACAGTTTGTAAGGATATGATTAAAATGTGAGGACACGTGCGAAGCCGAGCGGGCCGATAGTTTTATATTCTCCAATTATATCAACGTCAGTTCCAGAGACAGAATAAATTAAATGTTTTATTAAGTTTCAAAGACGTTGCGATTCAAAACTTTGATTGCGGGCGTACCTAGAGTAATTCTAAATATTGTTTAGCCTTATTAGTAAGGCTCGCATCATACAATACCAACTGTATTCAGGAATCGTCTTAGTTTGTGTAAACTAAACAAAGGAAAGTTAAAATCATCATTGTTAACTGTATAGGGGAGCATTTAAAACCAGTGTTGGTTTCAAGAAAGTTTTGAGCCCATAGTCTGCCCTCGGATAGACATTAAAATGAAATATGCGAGGCAAAATCGCAAAGAGGCCGGCGAGGGATCCTCACTTCTCATTATAAATGTGCGTAAATATTGTTTCCGCGGAGCCTTTGTCTGGGCTCATTAAGAAGCCATTACAATTCAAGTTTAATCCTCGCCAACTTTTAGCGGAAGAAAAATCGTTTGCTCGGTAGAAGTTTCCGAATAGGAGGTTTATTTGTTTAACATTTGGCGGAGGGCTCTGCCTCATAGCGTCGGTAATTAATTTAAAACAGTTCTTGCAAGAGATGCTTAATTTTTTCATAACAGCTGCATTAAATTACTCTACCACCTCTGATATTCTGAGAGAGGATGGGCACAGTGGATTCCCGCTGGAATTGGAGCTCCGGTCTGGGGAAGCAACTTCCACCTTACAGAAGATAACAAATCCCACCAACCACCCACGACCTGGCGAACCTTCTTGGTTATACAGGCCGAAGCAGCGGGAGATACGCTTGGAATGGCTTCCACCGCGCGTACTTACAGAAGATAACAGTAAAAAACTCTTCCTTTTGGTGGTGTTGTATTTCTGATGGTGAGTAGGGTTCCAGGGCTTCGCGGTGTAGTAGATTGGGTTCAGGCCGAAGAGGCACACTTTCTACCGCTCACCTATCTTCACGGCTGGACTCCACTTACACTTAACATCAGGTGGGGAGGGCGATAATATGTTGCGCCTCGAATAAAAATAAATATGCAGCTTAAGGCTAGGAAAATTTCGACGCGGCCATCAGGGCCGTGGTAGCATAATTGGACAGTGCATTCGCCCGGATTGCGAAGGGTGCGGGTTCGAGTCCCGTCCGCTGCCTGGTCCACGTGGATTTTTTTTTCTAGTAAAACTTTTATTTAGATTTAAAACATCTAGCAGTTAAATGCTTAAAAGAATAAAAACATTACTAAAAATAAATACTTAAGTGGGTAAGTATGATATGAAATTAAGGCACGAAGATGGCTGCGGCAGAATTAAAGCGCGTTTAGCACCAGCTCTCCCTTTGCTTGCAAATGCTGCAATCCCATTGCCACAACACTACAGGAAAGTGTTGTTATGGCCCTTTTACATTCAGCCACTGCCATTGCCGTTTGTATCGCTATAAAATACGCGCTAAAACACTACCCAAAATATGACTATAGCAACTGCAAGGGCAATGTGTACTTACATTATTTTATCGTTTTGTAATAATGTCCGATTCCACATTAAACCGTTTGTTCTCATTAGTTCGATCGTCGAACTAGTGAGTTTTTTTCTCTCATTTGTTCCACCGTCGACCTACTGAGACTTTATTGTTCTCATTTGTCCGTCCGTCGTCTTTATTTTTATTTGTCCATTTTGATTACCAGAACCTCTTAGTTATGTATATTGATCCCCTAGTACTTTTTTCAAATTATGATTTTATAAAAGTTTTTGGTTTTAATGCAAGATTGACAAAGGGTATATCCGTAGTAGGGAAATATTATTATTACCCGTAATGGGAATTATTACCTGTACTTATATCCGTAGTAAAGAAAGATTATTAAAACGTTGATTTTTTTTTATTCTCGATTAAAATAAGATGGTCGGCGGTCGAACAAATGATAACAATTAAGTCTCACTAGTTCGATGATGGAACTATAAATCTATCTAATGTGAATTAAGCAGACGAGAGATTAACGTTTTCCTTTTCCGTTTCTTACTTTTATTACTCCTACTGACATGTGTGCCGCAGGGACAATCTAGGGTGTAAGAGTGGGGATGACCCTTAATTGCCTCCTGAAGTGTGATGTGTGTAGGCAAGTTGGGGCAATTTTATAAATCGGGCCTGCGGCAGGGCGGTAGGAGCGCGAGACCACCCTTTAAGCGGCCACCATAGTCTATTGACGCTTGCAACACCGAGATCCCGTGAAGCTTACTGGTAACTCAAAATTACAGAATATTGTTTATTTAGTTGCAGCCTTAGTTCGGGCGGTAAATTTGCTGTACACTTACTTTCTCGACATGATGTCACATAAAAAAATTAGATAACATTTATTAACCCACATAAAAAACCGGAAATAAATGGAAATAAATCAGATAGGTACAACACAAAAACAGTAGATAACTAAGGCGAATGGAGTCAGCGTTTTAACATAAACTGCTATGAGAGTTTAGCAAAAACTGCAGTAATGCTGATATTCTAGCAGCGCCCACGACTAACACACATTTTTTTATAGATATAAGTATAAATAATATGCCAAATTAAAGACTTATCTATAAATATTGAAAATATTAAAACTGATTTAAAATAACATAATAAGTTTCTTTTTTTTCAAGTTTTTCCTTACCTCTTTAAAATTACTATGAGTTTGATAACCCCTATTTCACTCGCAATTTAAACTGTATTTTTTTTTATGAAAACATATAATCAAAAAATCCAAAACACGATCCCTTATTCAAGTACACAACATAAAAATTAAATAATATTTTTATATAATGAAGTTGTATACCACTAAGACTACAATGGGTGTAGAAACAACCGGATTTAATCATGTGGATAATTAATATATTATTATAATATAATAAAAAAATACAGTTTAAATTGCGAGTGAAAGGGATTCTCAAACTCATAGTAATTTTAAAGAGGTAAGGAAAAACTTGAAAAAAAACGAAACTTATTATTATAATTTTTATTATTTTTAAAGCATGTAACTGCTTGATGTTTACTGCCCGTCTGCTGCCTGGTCCGCGTGGAATTTTTTCTAGTTATATTTTCTTTTGAAACTTATTATGTTATTCTAAATCAGTTTTAATATTTTTAATATTTATAGATAAGTTTTTAATTTGGCATATTATTTATCCTTATATCTATAATACAACATAAAAAATTAAATAATATTTTTATATAATGAAGTTGTATACCACTAAGACTACAATGGGTGTAGAAACACCCGGATTTAATCATGTGAATAATTAATATATTATATTAATATAAAATATTATATTAATCGAAAAATATTATTTCATTTTTTATGTTGTATTATAGATATAAGGATAAATAATATGCCAAATTAAAGACTTATCTATAAATATTAAAAATATTAAAGCTGATTTAAAATAACATAATAAGTTTCGTTTTTTTTTCAAGTTTTTTTATATTAATATAATCTTTATTAATATAATATATTAATTATTCACATGATTAAATCCGGGTGTTTCTACACCCATTGTAGTCTTAGTGGTATACAACTTCATTGTAGCCTTTAAGGGTTAATATCATGTAGGTATACATAAGACACACACACCACACACACACACCAGCATAAAGGAACACAACACTTTACTCAATGCTGTACAATACTAATAAAGACCTCAATATATCCGATTGAACTGAATCTAACTAAAACAAGTTCGTAACTGATAGGTTCCCATTGGGCCTCGCCTTTCGTAGCGAAGTAAGTTAAGTACCTACTATGTAACTTCATCATTATAAGCGCCGAACTTTGAGTTCATTAGCCATTATTCAAAAAGTTTCCCACTGTATTGTGCAATTTTGTAAGACATACTTCATTAAACATGGAAAGTGATCGAATATTATTTGGAGTAAGTATATTTAACAGTAACTAGTTCAGAGGTGTGCCTACCTAGTGGGTCAATGAATGATTTTTTATAAATTCTATTCCTTTTGTACCCAAAGCATGAAAGGTTTCTATGGTAACAACGGCAGCACTCAGATTCTCTGTTCTTAAACGCGCTATGTAGGTATAGCCTTCATAGCTCTTTTGGCGACAAGTTAGTTCGAGCAGCATTTAAAAACTTGCGTAAATTAAAATAGTGTGAACAGTTATAAATAGTCAACGTACTACACTCCCATACAGAAATATTGATTTATATTGGTTACAAAATATCTTTAAACGGCGCAAATTTGTAAATAGCTGCCATAACATATTATGGCATTATTATCTAACCGTTTAAAGTAATTCTTTTATCAATTTATTACAATTAAAATTGACAAAGTTTCATAATTGCACAATTAGTTAATTTTTCTAAAATAAAATTTATTTTGTTGCGGACATAATAATATAACTTAAATCTTTTTCTGAATTTGCTTCTCAGGTAACATAAAATTCACGGTATATAATACTTTAAAAATCTGCAGGCCGGCAAAGTTGCTCACTTTGCCGGTAGGTGTGGCAGATCACAACTGCTGCAACAGCTATTTTCGCGTTTGGACTTTACCACCACTTAAAATCTGGTGTGTAGGTAGAGTCATTTTCCTACCTAGCTATAACAAAAATAAAAACAGCGAAGTTCACGTATTGAATGGAATA